TCTGTGTGTGTGTGTGTGTGTGTGTGTGTGTGTGTGTGTGTGTGTGTGTGTGTGTGTGTGTGTGTGTCTGTGTGTGGGTGTGGGTGTGGGTGTGGGTGTGCATGTGCATAAGGGCCGGTGGGGGTCATGCACACGTGTGTGTGTGCATGCATGCATATGCCTGTGTGTCCCATTGTCATTCTCCTATGCAGCAAGTTCGAGGATCTGTTTGACCTGGACCATTTCAACAAATCACTGAAGAATTTAGTTCGGATTGTCAAGGAAGTGCCGAGGGAGGTGCAAAAGACTTTAAGGACAGCGAATGTCACATTCATAGCACCAAAGCATTGCTCTCTGGAGTGGTACTCAGCCCACATCCTTCCAGTTCTGAAGAAGTATGGAGTTGCCGTGATCACGGAGTATATGCACCCATTGGGATTTGGAATGCCCTTTCACGTCGAGCAGATCCGCTGCCGTGCCAATTATTATGCTCTAAGGTGAATCCCAACTCTTTCTACCCCTTGTGATCTTTCGGTGTGTCCTGGAGGGAATTGACTTCTGCACAATGTTTTCCTTCTGTACAGGCTGTACGGAGCCTGTACCCACTGCCGGAGCACAAAAATGGAGGCGGTGTCCTCTGGATAACAGTCCAAGTGCACGTGAAGCGTGCTGACGACGAGTTTGACATTCTCGCTGTGGGAAACCATGTGCTTTGTGTTCTTTAGCATACTAGTGCTATGGCAATTGATTCCAAAGCGCATGACACCAAGGATATTAAACGACCATTTAGAGGGGCCTCTGAGCAAAACTCCACAGTCACATCCAGAATCTGACGGGGCTTTCCCACCTGGCGAACTCCATGTTCAGCCTCCATGCGTGCAGGAAAACTCTACCGTGCCAGCGGCGTTTCACAACGCGCACGAAGCAGACAGCAGGCTCAGTTCCAATCTGCTTCGTCCCCTCTTGCAAGTGGAGAGTTACCGCCGTCACCTGAATAGAACACCCAGTCGTTATAGAGGTATATGGGGCAACTCTCAGTCTAGATACAACAATAATGACCAAGCGTTCTGTTCAGGTGGAGACGGTAGGTCGGTGACAATGCCAGTAGCAAGACATAGCAGACAGCGGTAAGGAAAGTTGAACGGACATGGAGGTAGGAAGGGAACAAAGCGGCAAGTCCAGTACCAGGAAGGCAGCAGGTAAGGCAGAAAGCAAAGCAACTAGGCAAGACAAGTGGGCGGTCAGCTGGGCGACAGTGCAGACAGCAGAGCAAGCAACTGGGCAAGAAGGCTGGCAAGGCCAACACAAGGAAAGTGGCCCTGAAGGCAACCAGCAGGGCAAGCGATTAGGCAACAACGGAACACCAGGCGAGCGGGTGTGCGTGCAGGTAGCAATGTGACACAAGAGAAGCAGGCAGCAGGGCAAGCAGCAAGGTAACAAGGCTTGCCAGGACAACACAATACAAGTAGGTGAGTGGGCTGGCAGCAAGGCAAGTCACAAGACAACGAAGTAAGACAACGCAAGAGGGTGAGCTGGCAAAGATAACACAGGGCAAGTGGGCAGGCAGCTGAGCAATCTCCAAGACAGCAAACCAGCAAAAGGCAAGTTGGCAAGCAGCAAGCCAACACAAGGCAAACGGGCAGGCGGCCAGGGGAGCAGGGCAGGCATACACAGCAACCCACGCCTACACCAAGGACCATGGCGGATCATCACCCGCTCTTGGCCTCTCGCACCAAAAGTAGGACTCCATGGACTGCAGGTTCACGTGTTATGAACCTGGTTGCTTGTTGTCAGATGACCAACACTCACACACTAGACTTCCAGATATGCCCATACATACACAGAAGTAAGGGGAGAGGATGGGAGTATCACACCGCACAGGGAGAGATGAACATAGTGTAAGACTTCACCATGCGATATGACAGAGAACACTGAAAGTGCACTTCGCTCCACAGAATCCTCACAACCAGTCACAAAGGAAAGCCGAGTAGATCACATACAAGAAACAATGAAGCAAAGATAGTTCACACCCAGTATCAACACTGTTTATTAAATTCGGAGTCTCGAATTGTCAAAATAACCTCAGAACGGGTTGCGCCTAGCGCCGCTCGGTTAGCGCTACACCCCTGCGCTGGTCGCCACGCCCGCACTTTTTGGAGTCACCACGAGTAGTCGCCTTCGCGCTCGTTTCCAGACGTGCGCCATCACCAGACGTCTTTGGGAAGGTGAAGGTGGAAGAGGGTGAGCCCCCACGGCGCCCTGCCACGCCTCCGGGCGTGGCTAGGAAAGTGGCTATCAAAGGTGAAGTTAGGGAAGAGGAGGCAGGAAGGGGTAAGCAACGCTTATCCTCTGAGAGACTTCACGAACCCATGGTATGTTGAACGAAACCCGAGCGACCATAGTCATGATGGCCACTCGGGCAGTACATGCGTGACGCACATGCATCCGTCGGTCTTGACCAACTAAAGTTCTCCTTAGCGTATCAAGAGTAACGGTGGCTCCCCCGCCACTGAATAGAAAGGCGAAAGGTTTTTTGATGACGATCGGCTCTGATCGACTTGAGCGAATACCGCCAGTCAAACACCAGGAAGTGGCCTAGTCGACATTGGAATCCAGTGAGTACCGCGATTGTCATCATTGGGTCAAGGCTTCCCTCTCATCAGCACGCCCACCGCTGTCGAGCCACGCCACCATTGCTTTGCAAGTCACCCGTGCAGCGGTGTCGTCCCATTACAACCATTGTCAACATCTTCGCCACACGGATAAGTAATCGAAGACAGCTCGCCTACTAATTCTTTCGTCACCCTTTCTTCTCGCTCTGCCCCTTCCTTCTTTTCCTCTCCCCATCTTCTCCCTCTCCCTCTTCCTTCTCTCCTCTAGTTTTCTTCTCTCTCCTTCCGCTTCTCCTTCTTCCCCTTCTTCTTCTCCCGACATTTCACACCCTACCACTCTTCCCCTACTACACACTCGAATCCGAAGCCCAGATCCTGAAGTCTGAAAGACTCCCATCTGACCCCGAAGCCCATCCGGTCCCCACACCGATACCATCCCAACATACCCCCTATAGGTCCCAATCCCGTCCTGGTCCAAACCCCCATCTCTACCCCCTCCCAATTCCATCACTTCCTGGCTCCATCCCGTCCCCATCCCCCTCCTATCCTGAATCCCCCTACTCCCGCCCAGCTCTCGCCCTGATCCCATCCCGCTCCCCCCCCCCCCCCCCCCCCCCCCCCCCCCCCCCCCCCCCCCCCCCCCCCCCGCCACTACCCAGCCCCCAGACCACACCCATCCCGACCCCCTCCCTCCTCCATCCCGATCCAACCCTGATCCCATCCCACCCCCATCCCGATCCCATCCCAGCCCGTTCCTACCCCGTTCTCATCCCGCTCCCATCCCATCCTATCCCGATCGCACCCAACTCACATCCTACTCCCATCTCGATCCCAACCCGTTCATACTACGATCCCATCCCGAACCAAGCAGTCTCTATCCCGCTCCCATACCGATCACACCCAGATCCAATACCACTCCCATCCCGCACCCATCTCAAACCCTCCCCACCCACATCCCAACCCCACACTGATCCAGTCCCACTTCCAGAACCTACCCTTATCAAATCCTCCCTCATCCCGATCCCATACCGACCCCGTTCGTCTCCTACCACACTCCCATCCCGATCCCATTCCACCTCCTTCCCAACCCCACCTCGCTCCCATCCAGCTCCCAGCCCGCCCTCATACCACTCCCATCCGGCTCCCGCCCCGCCCCCAACCCGCTCCTCTCTTGATCCCACCCCGATCCCCTCCCACCTCCATCCCGTCCCCACCCCAATCCTATCCCGCACCCTTCCCGACACCATCCCTTCCCATTCCTACACCGTTCTCATCCTGCTCCCATCCCATTTCCATCCCGATCCCACCCAACTCACATCTCACTTCCATCCGACCCCAGCGCGTTCCTATATTGAGCCCATCCCACACCAAGCAGCCCCCATCCCGCCTCCATCCCGATCCCACCCAGATCCAACACCACTCCCATCCCACCCCCACCACAAGCCTTTCCCACCCACATCCCAACCCCACACTCACCCGGTCCCACACCCAACTCCTACCCTTATCAAACCTTCCCTCATCCCGATCCCATACCGATCAGCATCGACTCCCGCCACGCTCCCATCCCGACCCTATCCTAACTCCTTCCCGATTCCACCTCGCCCACCATCCAACGCCCATCCCGCTCTCATACCGCCCCCATCCAACTCCCTACCCGCTCCTATCCCGCTACTATCGCGATCCTATCATGACCCCCTCCCACCTCCATCCCGCTCCCACCCCGATCCTATCCCACCTCCGTTCCGATCCCACTTCGCTCCCGTCCAGCCCCCATCCCCCCCTCAAACCGCCCCCATCCGGCTCCCTTCCCGCTCCTGTCCCGCTCCTACTTCGATCCCATCCCGATTCCCTTCCACCTTCATTTCATCCCCACCCCTTCCCTATCTAACACCCATCCCGATCCCATCCCATCCCGTTCCTACCCCATTCTCACCCCGCTCCCATCCCATTTCCATCCCGATCCCACACAACTCACATCTAACACCCATCTCGATCCCAGCCCGTTCCTATTTATGATCACACCCCACACCAAGCATCCAGCCTCCATCCCGATCCCACCCAGATCCAACATCACCCCCATCCCGCCCCCATCACAAGCCCACACTGAGCCAGCCCTACACACAGATCCTGCCCTTATCAAATCCTCCCTCATCCCGATCCCATACTTATCCCCTTCTACTCCCACCATGCTCCCACCCTGATCCTATCCCACCTCCTTCCCGATTCCACTTCGCCCCCATCCAGCTCCCATCCCGTTCCCAAACCGGCCCCATCTAGTTCCCTTCCCGCTCCTATCCCGACCCCAACTCGATCCCATCCCATTCCCCCCTCACCTCCATCCCTCTCCCACCCCGATCCTACCAACCCCAACTGAGTCCCGAGCTCCATTGGTATTTGGTTCGACCCCCCCACTGAACCCACCCTGGGCCGGGCTCATCTTCCATCCCCCCTTCTCCCGCTCACCTCTCCCCACGCAGACCTAACATTCACTGGGGCAAGAATTAGTAATATTCACGTCACCCGAACGATTCCATCATCGACAGTCGCAGCGATGGAAGGAATGGGAATCGAAACACAAAATTGGCTCACGGAACAGACCAGAACATCACTTATCAAAACCACCAAACTCATTGATCACGATGGTAACAACAAAGAAGAGGTGGTGATTTACGAATGTCCCAAAGAACTGACGACCGAACAAGAAGAGCTTCACAAAAAGCATGTTGTCCTATTTACCTTCTCCAAAAAGAGTCAGGAGTTGGACAGGCAAGCCAAACTAAAATGGATTTGGGAAAAGCTGAAGAGTCTGGAGCCTGTGCAGGGACACGAACCCAAAGTATCTTTCCACCCAAGATCAAGGAATGTCATCATGGTTTTGTGTATGG